TAGTAAAATTGCAATCATCGAAATAACATAGCAACTCTTGACATAACGGTTTATATTTTTTTCATAAAGTAACTGCGTAGTGTGTCAAAAAATACGGAGAGGAATAAGTTCTATTTTTCATCTCTATTTATGGTAAAAGTGCATTTGTTTCACCGAAAGTTAAAACGTAAGTGCTCACATAATTAAGTCATCGTACTTAATTGCCATAAATTTGCTAAAATATCAAACCTCCACTGATTTATTTTCGTATTTCGTGTTATATCCTTAGCAATCGATTTAAAAATTTCTAAAATGGGTAAGAACAGGAGCTCTAATCCTTCCGAAAGGAAGATCATATGGGAGTGCTTCCAAAAATGTAAGACAGTAGCGAAAGTAACACAGGTATTGGGCTTTTCCAGAGGAAAGGTTGTCAATGCTATTCAGCACTACCAAAAAAATGGAACTTTCCATAATCTACCGCGCAATAAGCCTAGGAAGACAACTGCTTTTGACGATAGAAAATTGGTCAGATTGAGTAAGGAAGACCCTTTTTTAACCTCCAGGGAAATTAGGGCCCAATTAGAAAGCAATTATGGTATACAAATATCGGCACAAACCGTACGTCGACGACTGCAGGAAAATTGTTTGAATGGCCGGATCGCCAGACGTAAGCCCAATGTTTCAAAAAAAAATATTTAAGAAGATTGTCCTTTGCCAAACAACATTTGAACAAAGGCTTAGATTATTGGAAACTAATTGTTTGGAGCGATGAGTCTAAATTTAATGTGTTCGGCAATGACGGAAGACCTTATGTAAGACGTCCGCCATTGCAAGAATTAAACCCCAAGTACACAAAAAAAACAGTAAAACATGGTGGCTCGTCAGTAATGGTTTGGGGATGTTTTACGTCGTCAGGTGTCGGTCCGATTGTCCAAATCCAAGGCAAGATGACGGGTGTTATGTATAAGGAAATTCTAGAAGAACATCTAGTTGGGGATTACGCTGACGACTTGCCACTTGCTTGGATATATCAGCAAGATAACGACCCCAAGCACTGCTCTCGGGTCGTTAAGGACTGGATTAATGCAAATCACATTACATGTCTTGAATGGCCGGCGCAAAGCCCAGACTTAAACCCCATAGAAAACCTATGGGGCATTATAAAGAGAGCAGTTGCAGCGCGAAAACCTACAAACAAGGCTTCTTTATGGGAGATTATTAATGACGAGTGGAGTAAAATCACTCCGCAGCAATGTGAGTCTTTAGTCCG